CCTGCTTTCCCCCAGGTCCTGCTTCCCTGTAGGGTGCCCTGACCACTGCTCCATGGCCTGGAGATACCCCAGCAGAGCTGACTGGGGAGCAGCACCAACTGGCACTGGCACCAGCACCATCCCATCCGCACAGACCAGCAGGATGCAGTGCTCCCTCCCGAGCCTGGCTGCGTTTTTAAGCTGGCTGAGGCCATTCCCACTCAGACCCAAGGACCTTGACAGTCTGGATTTGTGGCAGTTTCTCTGCTCACAAGACTGAGATTAATCCACCGCTTTATATATGGGGTTTCTGGGAGAGCGTAACCTGTAAAAATGTAGAAATGGGAAAATTATCTGTAGCTGGTGGGTTTACAGACCTCATTATTTACTTACGTTCAGCCTGGGTTTAAACTAAATTGTTCTTTTAGCAGGTGCTGGTCCCTTACATTAGATTCCCATTTCATTTTCTTATTCCACCTGGTCGGGTTCCTAGAGACATCTTCCTCTTTGTTTTCAATATTTTCTGGCTGTAGCAAACCCAAGGTTGGTAAATGCAGCAGAGTCGGGTAGAAGCCTGATTTGCAGCTGTGGTGTGTGTTTTGTGCAACACAAAAGAAAACCCGAGACATTGAGAAGTCGGGGGGTCCAGACCTCACCCCCAGGATCCTGCCCGGTGTGAGCAGAATCTCCAGTGCCAACAGGGACACGAGATGCAGGGACCAGGGCCAGAGCTGGTGGCCATAGGGAGGCTGGAGATGGATGGACAAGGGCAGAGAGGGATGTTCCAGGGAGGAGTGGTTGTGCTTGGGGCAATTTGGGGATACTCAGAGCAGATGGAAGATGCTCAGAACAATGCAGGGATGCTTGGGGCAGGTTGGGGATGTAATGGGGCAGGTTGGGGATGCTCAGAGCAAGGCAGAGATGCCCAGGGCAGGTTGAGGATGCCTGGGGCAGGTTGAGGATGCTCAGAGCGGTGTGGGGATGTGCAGGCAGGTTGGGGATGCTCAGAGTGATGCCTGGATGCTCAGAGTGATGCCGGGAAGCCCAGGCAGGTTGAGGATGCTCAGAGCAATTCAGGGATGCCCAGGCAGGTTGGGGATGTCCGGGGGGAGATTTGGGATGCCCAGGCAAGTTGGGGATGTCCGGGGGAGATTGGGGATGCCCAAGGCACCTACACAGTCTTCTCCTAAGTGGTGCCTCTCTTGGTGCCTCTTGCATGATGGGATTTTTGTGGCATGGAGGGCCCCTGGCTGCTGCTCTGTGCAGGCAGCCGTGCTGGGGTCTGCCTGCCGCCCCCGGGGGTCCCTGCCATTGGCCTGGGGGACGGGTGCTGATTGGCCCTGTGGCGCTGTTGCTGTGGCTGTGCCCGGGCTGACGGTGGGGCCTGGCGTGCGGCTCGTGCCTCCGCGCAGGGGAATAATTCTCCTTAATCCTTCCGAGAGGCATCGCTGGATGAGGCTGGAGCCTCCCTCTGGGAGCCCCGTCTCGCCTGGCGCTCAGAGAGGAGCAGGGGGAGGGACGGCAGCCATCCCACGGGCAGGGAGGCCTCCATGCCCCCAGCCACCTGCCCCACGGCTGCACGGGGCTGCGGCTGAGCCGGCACCGCTCCTGCACCCGTGCTGAGGGCAGAGGGTGCCGGTGGTGGGTCTGGTTGTGGGCCCTGGCGAGGTGTGTGTGGGGCAGGAGTGCAGAGAGCCCCAAGGAGCATGTACTGGTTTAGGAGCTGATCTGGGCAAGCTGGGCTGCATCTCCAGCATGGTGGAGAGCAAAACCCATGGGGCCTGAGATCCTCTGTCCCCTGGGACGGGAGTGTAGGGGCAGGAGGTGGCAGTGCCCCTGGTATCCTGCCCCTCTGGGCTGGGCTGAGCCAGCAGCAAATGCCCTGCTGCTGTGGTCCAGGCTGCAGTCACCCATCGGAGCCCCATGGCCATGGCATGGGGGCAGGAGACCACCCAGGGGGTAGCCTGGAGGGTGCCCCAGGGTAATGCTGGCTGCTGAGGTCCCCCAAAGCCCTGCACTCCACAGCCAGCGCTCGGCCCTGGCCAGGAACAAGGGGTTCTGCCTGGAGCCAGCCCCGTGCCAGGGAGGGTGACGCCTGCCACCAGCCTGGAGCACCCGGCACATAAACACCACCCCGGGGATTAGGTCAGCTCTGGTCATTGCTCAGACGAATAAGTGGATCAGCGCAAGGGAAAGGAGGGGGAGGGAGCTCTGCTGAGCGGGGGGCTCGAGAGGGGACCTTTTAATTTAGGGGCTTGCAGGGCCAGGAGCAGCCTTGGCGCAGGCGTGAGGCTGGGCAGCCAGCACTGGCGCCCGGGGCGGCTGGGGACATGCGGCGACAGCCCCTGGCCGGCCCCCACGGTCGGCTTGGATGCCCGAGTGTCCTCAAGTCTGTTTATTTTAAGGGATACAAAGTCCTGGGCTGCTGCAGGGTCACAGGAGCCCTCGCCGAGCCTCTCATTAAAGTTTGCCGCGGGTGCCGGCAGAGGGGGGGAGGAGGAGGAGGAGGATGGGTGGCAGCAGGCGGGCACCATCCTGCCACCCGGCACACCTTTGGACCTGGCACCCATGCAGCGGGAGCCGTCGGTGCGGGGCGGCTCCGCAGCCCGACCCCATTGTCCTGCGGCGGCGCGGGCCGGGCGCGGGGACCGCCATCTGCTCGTGGCTGCCGGCAGCTTCTTTGTTCGCCGCCCGGCGCACGCTCACGCAGGAAGCGGCTCCCCACGTGCTTCGCCCTTTCCCTCTCGCGGAGGCACCTAATGAAATAAAGGATTTACTGCGGCGAGGGGGAGGGAAGGGGAAACGGGCTGAGCCGTTTGAAAATGTCGTGCCTGGCCCCAGGGCTGGGCTCCTTGGCCGGGCGCAGGCAGCGCCGGGCACGGGCAGGGCCGGGCTCTCTGCCGCGGCCGGAGTGTTGTCCCAGAGCGGCGCAAGGCGGGAGACCGGCGTGGTGGGAGCCATGCACGGGCAGGGGACAGTGCCAGGAACTGGGGATGTGGATGTAACCAAGATGGAGCAGGAGCTGGGCTGTGTTCGGGTGTGCATGGCACCGCTGTGGCCGGACCCCTGGGCCATGGGCTCAGGAAGGGGGTGGCCATGCAGCTGCCGTGGGGATGGCTCTGGGCCACGTGGAAACAGGGAAAAAGGAGTGTCCATGTAGTGTGTAGGAGGTCATTTGGTCTTTTGAGTGGAACAGGAGGGATGTCCGTGCAGTCCCTGCCCCGTCCTGGCGGCAGTGTGTCAAGGAGCCTTGCTGGTTGGCGTGCTCGCTGTGTTCAGAGCTCCTAACGCTGCTTCCAGGTGCCATCAGCTCAGGGTTTTCCCATCCAAGCGAGCCTGTCCTCGTGTGCCATCCCCACACCCCAGCACTCTGCAAAGCAACTTGTCCCCGAGCCACCGGCGCCGGAGCTCATTGCCTCTTACCACACCCAGCCCCAAATGGGGCCAGGAGGACAGTGCCGGGAGGCAAGGGACCCGGCGGGGAGAGGCAATGCCCCTTTCTCCTCCCTGCAATGCAAACAGAAACCGAAAAGGACCAAATTCCAAAGTTCTTATTCAAGCCAAACCGCCCATGGCCCCGGGTGGAGGCGTGGGGACCGTCACCTGCTGGAGGGAAGAGTGGCCCAGGCGTGGGGCATGTTGGAGTCCAGCGTCCTTTGTGGGACAAGGGAGCAGAGCTGTGCAATGGCCCTGCAGCCATAGGGACCAATGACCTTCCATCCCTCCATCTGCTGCACCCCAGGGCCCAAAGCACAGCTGCACTGGCCCAGCTCTTGGGAGCACCTGTGGCAACTCAGCCACCAAATTAGCCCAGGGAAGCCCCAGCCAGGCAGGGGCTTTGAAAGCAGTGGTGCATCCATGATGCACCTTCTGGTGGTCCCACAGGTGGACCTGGGGGAAGCCGGCACCGTGGGGGGCAGAGCCGCTGGCCCACCTCGGGTCTATGGTCCCAGGGGGTGACCACACATCCTTCCTTGCAGATGACTCCTCGTCAGAGAGCTGCAGCGGGAATGGCTCCTCCACCCTGAACCCCTCCACCTCCAGCAGCACGCAGGGCGACAGCGCCTTCCCCGAAATGAACGGGAATGGCACCGCGGCCCCCATGGACTTCACCACCTCCGCCGACGACCAGCCCATCAACCTCTGCGACAAGCTCACACCTGCCCACGTCACCCCTTCCTACCAGTCGGACGGCTGCAGCGCCGACGGGCTGCGCAGCAGGGTCAAGTACGCGGTGAAGACCACGGCAGAGGTACGGCCCGGGCTGCAGGTAGCCACTGTTGGGGCTAAAGGGGTGGCCCAGGAGCCTGTCCCTTGTAGGGAGAGGATGAACGAGTGCCATGCTGGCCTGCCATGGCTGCAGCAGAGCTGCTGTGCCTGTCATGCTCCAGCCCCAGGGCTGCTGCTCAGCAGAAATCGGCCTGAGCGCTGGGCGAGTGGTTGGAAGAGGGATGAAGAGATGGAGGGATGGTTTGGGGGAGTCGGGGAGCATCCCCTGTGCCCTGCCTGCCCCAGAACCAGGGCTCTGGGAGGCCTCACGCCCCACCGGCTGTACTGCTGCCACCGTGCAAAGAGGAGCACATTCCCACTGGGTTTGGGCAGCGTTTCCCACAGGGTCAGGCAGAGCCACTGCCACCATCAGCCAGAGCCACACTGTCTGTGCTTTGGGCCATCGCATGGTCCCTGAGGCCTCTGTGTGTCCCCCTGCCCTAAGTAGGCAGGAAATGGCACTTGGAGAAGCCCATCCATGTGTTCGTCTCCCCGGGCTGCAGAGGGACATCAGGAGGTGGGCCAGAAGCAGTGAGCCAAGGAGAAAGGGCTTTTTCCTCGTGACCGTGGGCAGGGGTGGGCAGGCAAGGGCTGCTCGTGGTAACCCCCGTCTCCTCTCAGTCCCCTCCATACAGCTCTGGCAGCTATGACTCCATCAAGACAGAGGTCAGTGGCTGCCCTGAGGACCTGACCGTTGGCAGGGCCCCCACGGCCGATGAAGATGACGATGATCATGATGACCACGAAGACAACGATAAGATAAATGACTCAGAGGGGATGGACCCGGAGAGGCTAAAGGCCTTCAATGTAAGGAGGGCTCCGCGGGGAGGGGGCAAGCCCACCCGCCTCCCGTCTTGGTGTTCCCACCATCTGTCTTCTCCTTTGCAGATGTTTGTGCGCCTTTTCGTGGACGAGAACCTGGACCGGATGGTTCCCATCTCCAAGCAGCCCAAGGAGAAGATCCAGGCCATCATCGAGTCCTGCAGCCGGCAGTTCCCCGAATTCCAGGAGCGGGCGCGCAAGCGCATCCGCACCTACCTCAAGTCCTGTCGCCGCATGAAGAAGAATGGGATGGAGATGGTGAGTGGCCACCCCGCTGCCCTGCTGCTCGCCACCGCTCCCGGGGCAGCAGGTCCCTGAGCACCTTCTCTGCTTGTGTCTCCCCAGACCAGGCCCACGCCACCGCACCTGACCTCGGCCATGGCAGAGAACATCCTGGCCGCTGCCTGCGAGAGCGAAACGCGGAAAGCAGCCAAGAGGATGCGGCTGGAGATCTACCAGACCTCCCAGGTACGGTGCTCATGGCCGTGGGGTGGGGTGGGGAAAATAAGAGAAGTTTCTGAGCAATTTGGCAAAGTGTTTTTAAAAGCCTTTCTAAAAGCCAGAGGGCTGCAGAACAGGGCCCTGTGGTGCATCCCGAGACTCGGGTCAGCGGGTCCAGGGACACTGGTTTGTGCTGGCCACAATGTGGGAGACCAGGTGTCCCCACGCTGTCCCTCCCACCCTCCACAGAGGACAGCCGGGCTCCTCGCTGTAGTTGAATCTGTGTTTCCCCTGTGCAGGACGAACCGATCGCTCTTGACAAGCAGCACTCCAGAGACTCCACAGCCATCACCCACTCCTCCTACTCACTGCCAGCTTCATCTTACTCCCAAGACCCAGTCTACATCAATGGAAGCCTGAACTACAGCTACCGTGGCTACGGGTCCCTGGGGGGCAGCCTGCAGCCGCCCGCCTCCCTCCAGACGGGCAACCACAGTAACGGTAAGTGGCCACACGCTGCCCGGGGACCTGTGGTGGCACTGGGAGCCCACCCAGCCATCGCCCACCCCATGCCCGGACATTCTGAGCTCTGCTGGAGCTGGGGCTGGAGGAAAGGCAGAGGCTGCTGCCATGGCTCACACCAAGCCCCTGGTTGTGGCAGCATCTCTCCCGCTGCCGCATGGAGCAGATTTGAAAGCCCCTCTTCTCCTGCAGCCAACAGAGGCCTCTGCCCCACTGCTCAGCTTGCCTCATCAGCAGGTGGTTAATTGTTGAACTGAACTTGGAAGGACGGTCTAGGTGGCACTGGTGGAGGGAAGGAGTGTCACTTAAAAAAAAGAGAATCTGTACCAGCGATTAATTATTAACAGGAGCGGGCGCCTATCGCTGCCCGGATCTCGTTGCCAGTAGGAGCCGTTCCTTTCCCAGCCTGCGTCGGCTGCTCTCGGAGTCGGGGACAGGGATGGAGCCAGAGCTGGTGAAGTCTGGGGGCTCTGCAGCAGCACCTGGGGCACAGCCAGCTCCTGCCACAGGTCGGAAGGGTGGCGTGGGGCTGGGGGCTGCATGGGACAAGTGGCCGGGGGGACCAGGACAGGAAGGCAGAAGCAGGAGGCAAGGCTCGAGGGGTCAGCTGAGTTAGGAGCAAGTGAACCAGAGGCCTCTGCCCCACTGCTCAGCTTGCCTCATCAGCAGGTGGTTAATTGTTGAACTGAACTTGGAAGGACGGTCTAGGTGGCACTGGTGGAGGGAAGGAGTGTCACTTAAAAAAAAGAGAATCTGTACCAGCGATTAATTATTAACAGGAGCGGGCGCCTATCGCTGCCCGGATCTCGTTGCCAGTAGGAGCCGTTCCTTTCCCAGCCTGCGTCGGCTGCTCTCGGAGTCGGGGACAGGGATGGAGCCAGAGCTGGTGAAGTCTGGGGGCTCTGCAGCAGCACCTGGGGCACAGCCAGCTCCTGCCACAGGTCGGAAGGGTGGCGTGGGGCTGGGGGCTGCATGGGACAAGTGGCCGGGGGGACCAGGACAGGAAGGCAGAAGCAGGAGGCAAGGCTCGAGGGGTCAGCTGAGTTAGGAGCAAGTGAACAGAAGGGAGAAGCCTGGGGCTGAGCAGGGCACCTGGGGAGGTGCTGGGGTACCTGGTGACTCCCAGGCACCGGGCGAAAGAGGTGTGGGATGGGGCAAAGGGTCTCCTCTTGGGCAGCAGCCTCTCTGGCTTTGCTCTCCCAGCAGCAGTCGCAGGAGGGGTTGGAGTCCATGCCACTCCTTGGCCAGTCCTTTGGCAATCTCCGGGCTGCCTTCGCTTGCCCCGGTGTGCTCTGGGCTCCTGCCCTGCCCCTGCCCGCCCCAACAGGAGCGAGGATTTGGAAGGATGTGATTTCCGGAGGCCTGAGAGATGCCTGTCTGGGATTAACTCTTATCATCCCTTCCTAATGCTTCTTAACCCTGAATAAAGATCCCGCCCCGGCCTCCAGCTGCTGAGGCCTAATCCTTGCAGCCACGGCGGAGGCAGCTATGGTTCCTCCCCAGAGCAGCACAGGCACCCCTGGCCCCCCGCGCACCCCCCTCTCACCCAGCCCCTCCGTGAGCCCTGGCTCCTGGACAAGAGGCAGCAAACTTGCAGAACCGCCTCCGAGCAGCCCCGGGAGGAGCAGACAGACCCTGGGTGTTGCACACAACAGCAACACACAGCAGCAACTTGCTTCTTTCTAATGAATTTTTAAACCTCTGCTTTGCAATTGTTTTTTTCCCCTCTTTGCCCAAGCTCTTTGTTAGTCCTTTAGAGGTAAGAGCGTGCTGGCAAGGAGCTGTGCCTTCTCCTCCCTCCATGAGCACAAAGCCCGCAGGGTTTGCTGCCTAGAAGTGTCTTCTCCCTCCATCCCCCACCTAAGGCAATCTGCTGCAAGGAGCTGTGCCTTCTCCTCCCTCCGTGAGCACAAAGCCCGCAGGGTTTGCTGCCTAGAAGTGTCTTCTCCCTCCATCCCCCACCTAAGGCAATCCTTCCTCAAACCCCCATCCCCATTCCCAGCTCCTTCCCCCTTGGTGAGCTGGGAAATGGGCTCCGCTTACTGCTGCCTTTTCTGTCCAGTGGAATCGCTTTCGCATGAGAGCCTCCTCCTCCCCTTCCCCGAGCTGATAAGCCTGGTGTGGAAGTCCTCTGCTGGTGCCACTCCTCACGCAGCATTTGCTGCTCCAGCATTGTTTTCCTTGGACTCTTCCCTTCCTGCCCCAGGGCGATGCATTCCCCTCCCCGTCACCGTCACCAGTGGGACCCACCTGGTCTCGGGGGGTTGCTGAACTCCCCTGTCCCCATTTGCAAACTGCTGCAGCACCCGATCCCTGCTCCATCTTCCTGCGTGTCCCACCTCTGCTTCAGGCCACCCAGCAGGAGCTCAGCCCACCTGAAGCCGTTCTCCAGCATCACCAACTGCTCCATCAGCCTGCAATGCCCCAGCCCACAGCCAGGGGATTAATTAATTCAGCGTCTTCTCTTTCTCCTTAGCCCCAGGCTGCAGCCTCACCTGCCTCCTCTCCCTCAGTACTAGCACATCTCTAGTACACATCTTTGCTCTTATCTCCATTGCTTGTTGAGTGTGTGGTTCTTGCACCTTGTTTGGCTTCTCTTACTTTAGTCCAACACAAAGTTAAATCCAGTTTTTCCCTTGCCTTTATCTGGCTGTGTCACTCAAGCTGTGTATCAGCTTCTCTATCAAAGCCTTTCCACTCACAGCCACCCAAACCGGGCTGCACACGCGTGCTCGTGGTCGTGCATGTGTATCTGCCAGGGCAGAGGCCGAGAGTGTTCTTGGAGTCCTGGAGAACTCGGTCATTTTGTGACTTTTGTCAGGTTTAATGTTTTTTTTCTTGCAGGTTTAAGGTTTAACACAGAGGGGTTTGTGGGCTGGGGCAGCTGTGTGTCTTGTTCTGCAGAAGACAGGCACACATACGTGGCCAGAAGCCGATGGCATGGGATAGAGGTGGAGCAGAGAAGGACTTAGGAGAAAAAAATCATCCCTGCCCATCAGGCAGATCATAAATTTGGCAGGATTTCATTTCATTTGCAGACTAAGCCACAGAAATGTGCAGCCTAGTAAGACCTTTTAGCCCCCCCGAAACCTTCAGGCTCAGGCTGAGTAGGCGTTGCTGGCTGGGGTGGTGTGTGATAGCCCAGGAAGGGCAACATTCTGGAAGGTTCCTCCTGGCTGCTGCGCTGGGCAGAGAAGCCGTGTAGTTACCCAGCACTGAACTGGGGAAACATGCCCTTTGTGGGGTGTTACTTACCATATGTAGGGGAAAAACCAGAACCTGGCAGGTGATTCTGATGGACAGATACCCTCAGGTGCAGGTTTAGCTCCTGGTTTTGTGGCTTTGCCAGGAGCTACAGAGCAGGGCCACAGAGCCTCCCTTTGTGGAGCGGATTGGGCAGGCTCTAGGATGTTGTCACGTTGACTCTGAAGTCTCTTCCCTTGTTGTGGTTGTTGTAGAGGCTTCTGCAGGATCCGGGGCTTCTCACGTTATCCAGGGCACCACACTTCACAGGGACCTTCCTGCCAGTGCAGAGGTCCAGGAGCAGCAGCTCCCTCTGTGGATCTCCTCGTGGTGGGACGGACACGGACAAGGCTGCTCTGCCTGAGCTTCTCTCTCCCTTTTCCTTGGCAGGTCCGACCGATCTCAGCATGAAAGGTGGGGCCTCCAGCACGGCCCCCTCCAACAGCACCAGCAGGGGAATGCAGGCTGCCCAGCTCAGCCCCACGGAGATCAGCGCAGTGCGGCAGCTGATCGCCGGCTACCGAGAGTCGGCGGCGTTTCTGCTCCGATCTGCAGACGAACTGGAAAACCTCATTTTACAGCAGAACTGACTCCCGGTGTCTGCGTCGCTCCTCTGTCGAGAAGACAATTTATACCTGCTAGAAAGAGGCTCCCAGCGGTGTCCTGCTCAGGACCACCACCGTCCTCCCGTGAAACGGCGGGTACATGTAGTTTTAGAAGGTGGAATCCAAAAGACCTGTTTTCTTTTACACTCCAAGCACCTGGGACTTCAGGCACAAGGACACGTTTTTGAACCGTACCAACACCCGTGCGTCCGGCCGACCAGAAGCCAAACCTGCGGCTTGGAAGGATGTGGGACTTTCAAGGGCAGAAGGGAGCCTGGGGAGGTTTGGGGCTGCAGATGTATTTAGAATAACCTTTGTGGACCCAAATGTTAGATTCCCGTCCCCAGATAATTTCCAAGTCTTAGGTGAGCTGAATCACATATTTATTGAGAAATGGACCCTCCTCTCCCCTTAGTAATTTATTTTTCTGAAAATGGATTCTTTTGAGTTTGTACAGATTGCCAGTTTTTTGTCTGTCTGATCAGAAGGAATTTATTCCTGTGAAATAACACATTCCATATCACTACACTACTAATTTCCAGGCAGCTCTGCCTGTTTCTCTGGGGAGCCCTTGTCCCAACAGGGAGCAAGTTTGCCATCCGACCCTACACTTCGAGGCTGCTCAACCTCCAGTAAGCGTAGGTGGCAGCTGATGGACGGAGCAAGCAAACGTCCTGCTTAGACCTTCGTTCTAAGCGGTCCCGTAGCAGCAGTGGGGTCTAAACCTCCCGAGAGACTCGGCAAGCTCAGCAGACCTCCGCCTAGAAGGACGTCTCGCGCTCATTTAAGTCATTGCAGATAAGAGAAGGAAGGAAGGAAGGAAGGAGATACCTGAGAAACACTGTCTTGCGGTCACCATCCGTACTCTACCTCACACTCCATTGTGGGCTTCTTCCAGGACTGGCCGAGCTGGGCCTGGGGGACGGTGAGTGTCGCAGACGCGTGGATCGCGCCGAGGAGGCTGGACCCAGGTCCAGCGGGATCCGCCGGGGTCCTGCTGCTTGGGGGGCAGCTCGTCCCCCCCCACCCCACCCCGCTCTTTGCACCGGTCCCTGTGACACCAGCCCTGGGGTAGCACCAGGAGAATAAACCCTTTAGGAGCCGTGTGGGTGTCGTAAAGGCTGATGCCGGGTTCCTGCCTGAAAGGCGAGCGCGGTGCGGCCGAGCCGCTCGCTCCTCTGCAGACGACAGAGACGGGCAAACATTCAGCAGCAGAACTGACAAAATCCTCTCCAGGGCCCAGCATCCTTCCCCCTCCTCCCCGCTCACAGTCCTGGAACAAGCCCACAATTCCCAAAGTGTGGAAAAACCATAGTCCGATGACCATTCTGCCCCGTTACCCACCCCTCGCCCCTCTTCACCCTCTCCCCAATAATGCACTTCGTTTTGCTCAGTGCAATACCTACTACCAGTGCTGCTAAACCCAGGGGCTTGGCTGGGGCACGGGGCTGCTGAGCCCAGCGATGGTCCGTGCTCCGGAGCCACGTAGAGCAGCAGAGACAGCGGCTGCCGGGGATCCTGGCTCCTCCTTGCCCCCGGCGCCGGGCAGGAACCCTCACCACAAGATAGAGATTTGATAAGCGTAACCCCCCCATACGCTCCTTTTAAAGGTAGATACTTTCTGTCTTTGGAGGCAGCTTTTTTCTTCTTTTTTGGCCACTCTGAGCTGGCTGTTGCTCCGCCGGGGGGGCTGACGCCGCTGGCGTGGGCTCGAGCTCGGTGGCAGCGGCCGGTCCCAGCCAGGAGAGGACCTGGGCAGTTTCCTCAGTAGCCTTTATACCCGATTATACTCCCCACACACTGGAAGAGAAGCAAAACCTCTACCCTCCTCTTAGTCTTAGTATGGAAAAAGCCGCCAGCTCCTGAGGACAGGCTTGCCTGGCCCGGCAGCAGAAGGGATTAACCGTTGCGTTGACTGTTTTTTTCCCCAAATCTTAAACTTGCCACAGCATTTGGAGAAAAGGGACCTAACTCCTGGCCGCGGGGCGCAGTCAGGGTGTCCGTGCAGAGGTGAGGTGGTGGCTCGTTAGACCTGAGCCCATGCTGGAGCCGGGAGCATCGCGGCCATCCCGAGGCGTGCCCGGGCTGAGCACCCCCTGTCCCCCCCTCCTCTCTGCCCACAGCAGGCAGCAGAGTGGGTTTTGGAGAGTGGGGGGCCAGCCCAGGGTATCAGCGTCTCCCCCTGCCCCCCCGAGCCAGGGTTCAGCCTCACGCTTTCCCCAGCACTTCACAAGCCTGCTTGGGTTTGTCCACTGCATCCTCCCATACTTGGAATTTATGTAAATATTTATTTTTGTGTGAATACCATGAAGTAACAAACCTTTGACAAAAAAAAAAAAAGAAAAAAAAAAGAAAAAAAAAACAAAAAAAGATGTAACCGCAGCCATTTGTGAAAGTCTTAACGTTAAGGAAGGAGAGGCAGAGACAATCGCTGTCCCGGAATTCTCTCTCTCTGCGATATCCCACCCGAGTCGGTGCCTCCCTCCCCCTCAGAGGCCATCGAGAACATTTAGCCATAAGTTTGCCATCCAGTTTACCGAAAAAAAAAAAAAAAAGAAAAAAAAAAGAGTTTACCCAGGGGCTTACGGACAGATCACCATCAGCTACACTTCGTTTAAAGTTTTATTTATACAAGTTTTAGCTGTCGTTACCAGATCACCTTTGAACTTGTCTTAGCATGTATTGAAGTTTAGTAGCTCTTACACTTTGTTAAACTGCTGTAGAAGACAGATGAGGCTCACGGTCGCGTAGGAAGGTCTCCAACAGCCTGCCCTGTCCCAACACCTGATGTTCATCACTTGCAGCTGAATGGTACAGACTCAGATTTCCAAAGCCCCGGTGACAGCCACATCTGTGACGAGTTATGAAACAAATGGGATTGAATATGAATTTCTGTCAGGGATCTTTTTCTTTCCTTTTTTTTTTTTTTTTTCTCCCTTTTTTTTTTTTTTTGTTTTAAATTTTGGTGAGCCGCAGCTTTACAGTTTCTTTGGAGCAAGCTCCACCAACATCTCTTCAGCTGATCCGTGCTCAGTTGTGGCTCTTCTGTGCTCCAGGACTGTTCCACAGCCACATCCCTGCGCTCTCACTGGGCAGGACGGGGTCAGGAATCGCTAGTCCGGGTTCTCATCAAGAAGGAATGAGCAGGAGCAGAATACACCGGCTCTCCAGCTATTCTGAGGGGTGGAAGGAGAATGCTGGGTTAGCAAATGGTCTGGATGTTCTTGGTTTCATTTAAGAAAAGCTAATCACTGGTCGAGAAAATAGATGGGTTTGGTTTTTGGTGGGTTTTTTTGTTTGTTTTTTTTTGTTTTTTTTTTAACTTAATTTAATTTTATTGTAAACACAACCATCCTGCCCTGGATGTGCAGGTCCCATGACAGTGTTTCTCCATGGGAGAGCGTTCCCGGGATCGCGAGCAGACGTGACGTGTACCTCCCCCATCCAAAGGGCCACTTCCCTCCCGCCAGTGGCCGTCGGATTTAGTACCAGTTCATGAAAAAAAAAAAAAAGAAAAAAAAGAAAAAAAAAAATGCTGCTTTGAACTCAGAGGGTTAATATACTTTTGATTTGTAATTTTTTGTAAAACTTTTTACAAGGTAGCATAGTATTTCACCAGAATACCAACTACAATCCGTCCATGGTCTGATTTTTATATAATTTAGTGGTGCTTTAGAAACTTTTGTTTGGTTGTTTCGGAGCTGTACAGCTCGAGTTTTTTCGCCTGTATCTACCTAAGACCAATGTGAACCTTTGTATTTTTGCTCCTAATTTTGGACTCAGTGAAAGTGTACTGTTTACATGTACAGAACTCCCGGCCCCTGTGTGTTCTGCAAGACCTGCTGTTGAAGAGGAAGATGCACCTCACCCAGTTCGTCTGCTTAACCAAGCCACAGCCTCACTCACCCACTGACACACGCACCTACCCTCAAGGAAGACACTCCCCCCCCCCAAAAAACCAACAAAAATTGAAACACCCTTTAAGCAATTTTGGGTTTTGCACAAGCTATTGTATTATTATTGTTGTTATTATTAATTTTTTTTTTCCCGGTAGTCGATTTACGGATTGGCTGCAATTCAAAGAGAGCTGAGATGATGCTCGATTAACTGAAGCACCAGAAAAGAGGTGACAGAGCTGCTGCTTCGCCGTCCTCCTCCCGGCATCCGGGGCAGGAGGGTGAAAGCCTCCCCAGCTCAGCGTGGGGTTCAAACACGGGAGGAGAACGCTCGAGCCAAAGGGGGGCTTGCGAGGAAGCAGGGAAAAAGCAGGGGAGACACACACACACACACACACTCATCGAGCATAATTGGCACCGTACTTTAACGAACCTGGTGAAGCCGCCCGAGCTGGCCGCTGATTGCAGATGGAGAGGGTGGGAGCACGTTCCCTCGGGAGGTGGGGGGGGGGATGCTCCAAAACGAAGCAGAACAGAGCTCTTTGGAAAGTCCCCTCTTTCCTGAGGGCTCTGGTAGAAAGCATATGGCACTTAATCCAGCTTTTAAGGTGACACTTTATTGCTTAATCAATTGATTTCATTTTGAAATGATATTTTTGCAGATAGGCACCTATGCAACTTAATGTGGCTCTTAAGCAGATGAGCACTTCCTCCTCAACGAGCTTGATAAGAGTTATTTGTGTTATATACTGTGGATTTTTCCAGTAAATGTGGCTTAATATTTTAATTCTTAGAATGTGTGTCTATTATATATGTGATGCAACTTAATTCTGTTCTGTTTGTGGAATGATTAGCACAGGCCAACTCCCTGTTCCCCTCACTTAACAAAGACCAATGAGCTGTTAATCAAGCTGTTATCTCCATGGTATTACTTGCTAAATGCACTGATTTCATAAGTATGTGGAATCCTTTTTATTTTTTTTCTTTTTTTTTTTTTTTTCTTTTGAATCTGTATATCATATATAAGACTGAATCTACTTAATAAACACTGTATAACAAAAAGGGCTTTCTCCTCCACTGTCGAGCACCCTTGGGTGCTGCCGGCACCGGCCGTTGCCCCCCTCACCCCGTCACCAGCCCATGTTTGCCCCCTCCCCAGCCCCAGCCCACGTGCTGTGTTAGAGGTCGGTGCCATTGGTCTCCAAAGCGGGATCTAAATTTAGGTGTTAAAAGGAAAAAAAAAAAAAAAAAAAAGAAAAAACCATCTTTCCATAATTTTGACCCAAGCTGTGCTTTCCATTCCGTAACAGAAGCCGCGGGTGCCGTAGGGAGCAGCGTTAGCACTCACCAGTGGGGCTCGTCACAAATTTTATGCTTAACTTATATTTTGATGAAATTAATTTTGTGAAGTGTCTGTTTTTTGTGGGGAAAAAAAAAATTAATAATATGGAGTTTTCATTGAAGTTTGTGGAAAGTTCTCCCTCTCCTCATGGAAAAAACTGATTTTTCGTGATCAGCTTTATTCACTAAGTATAATAAATCTTTGCCTCCGTAAAATGTTTATCTCAAAGCACTGTGTAGATAAAAATCTGCTTTGCATCAGTCAGGAGGACCCAGGAAAGAGGAGTTGGTTCACAGCTTTAGTGGAAACCCTTCTCCTGGGGGTGCCCGTGGTGCAGCGTGGGCAGGACCTCCCCTGGGTTCGCTGCTGCAGCCTCCAGCAATGACCAAAAGGACCCACCGGAATGTTTGAGCCTGGAAATAGTCACCTGGGGACAGCACATCCCAAATGGACCTTCCATAATAATTAGTTAACGTATGTGTTAACTAACGTACTAGTTAATGCAACGTGTTAAACTCCTCTGTGCATGCAGGGCTAACACGAGGTTTCTGCAGGACACACAAAAAGCATCTCCCACGTGTCCTCGACACAGTCAGGTTTAATAAAACAAAGCCTCTGGGTAAGTTTTGCTCCTGAATTTCAAACGGGGAAAGGGAAAGGGCTGCAAACCCTGGGGATCAGCAGCCTCCGTTGTCAGGACCTTTGGAAATACCTGCTCTTTCTTCCACAGCTCCACGGCCACAGGTGTCTTGGCTGACGTGGAAGGTCCCCTCTGTCCCCAGCCAGGACGCTCCAGAGCAACCACGGAGCTGGACCCAAACAGCAGATGGTCTGGGAGAGAGAAAAATCTATTATTTATCAGACAAATGTCACAGAGGAACCAAATAACTTGTATTATGGGAGTGACACAGAGTTTAAACCGTAAACCTTCTCCCACGCATGGGACAGAGCTTCCCTTTGCACTCCAAGGCAGCAACGCTCAGCTCTGCCCCTTTTCCTTCTCACCACCAGTTTTCAAGCAAGAGGTTGGGCTTCGCTGCTGCTGCACTGGTGCCCATCAACCCCCGGCACCAGTGACATGGGGGAACTGGGGGAATGGGGCTCCATCGCCGCTGTGTGCCACCCTGGAGCACTGGGGAACATAAGGAATCAGACAATGGTTAGAGTTGGAAGGGACCTTAAAGATCATGGAGTTCCAAGTTAGATACTCTATCACCGTAGGGATGGAAACGCTCCCACAGCCCCACGCAGGAGATCACCACCTGCCTTCCAGAAGATCTACACAATGAAACCAGAACTGAGACACGTAACACCATAATTCATGTTATTCTTTTAAAAAACGCTTACTACTAGAAAGGAGAGAAAGGACATATCAATAAACTAAGTTTACAGGTAGTTTCAAAAATCGGTGTAATCGTTACACTCTTCAGAAAACATTTCCAGATCCAATTATTCAACAATTGAAGAGACAGAAACATAAAAGCCACGGAACAGCAGCAGCAAGACCTGCCTGGTGACACCCATAGGTGTTACCCCAGCAGGGCAGGGATCTCCCCCCATTACTGGGGTGGGGGGGTCTCCTGCAGCATCCCACAGCTCCAGCTCTTGGAACCCTCAGGGTCTCTATTTTCCAGGAGCCACACACTGTCTGCAGTTGTCTGTGCAGAAAAAAAGTGCATCAAAGTGCACACTTCTTATGCACAAGTGCATAAAACCCACTTTAATAAAGCCGAGGCAGCAGCCCCCACCCCCCCACCCCCTTGTTAATCACAGAATCACAGAATCTTCTAGGTTGGAAGGGACCTTAAAGATCATCTTGTCATCTTCAAGATCATCATTTTTGTCAACCCAACTGACTATAAAAATAGACACCCACACAACAAACAAGGAGCATCATCACTAAACCAGACCTCCCAGCACTACATCAACCCGTCCTTTGAACACCTCCAGGGATGGGGCCTCAACCACCTCCCTGGGCAGCCCATTCCGAGCAGAGCTCTGGAACACTCCCAATTAAAAAAAGAGGAAAGGAAATGGGGTATCGCCTGGGAGAGCACAGAGGGTGATTTCAGAAAAAGAGGATTGAAACCACAAATGCAGGTTTTACAGAGTGTTTATTTTTCCAATACCACAAGGGATATACATGAGCAGGGCCCTCCTCCTCCCCCCCAGCCCCCGCCCCGGAGGGC